CTCCCGGATGGTATGTTGCCTCCCGGGTGCCAGGGTCAGAGATGTCTTGGATCGAGTCTACAGGATTCTTAAAGGAGAGGGTGAGCAGCCAGAAGTTGTGGTACACATCGGTACCAATGACATAGCCAGGAAAAGGGAGGAGGACCTGAAAAGTGAATCTAGGGAATTAGGATGGAAGCTAAAAGCCAGGACGAGCAGAGTAGTAATCTCAGGATTACTACTGGTTCCACGGGCTAGTGAGGCTAGGAATAGAGAGTGAGTGCAGCTCAACACGTGGCTACAGAGCTGGTGTAGGAGAGAGGGCTTCAGATATGTGGATCATTGGGATACCTTCTGGGGAAGGTGGGACCTGAACAAGAAGGAGGGGTTGCACCTGAACTGGAGGGGCACCAATATCCTGGGCGGGAGGTTTGCTAGAGCTCTTCAGGAGGGTTTAAACTAGTTTAACAGGGGGATGGGAACCGGAGCTACGGATCAGAGGATGGGGTAGCTGGTGTACAGGCAGATTTTTTTTTTCTTTATTTGTTTATGGGATGAGGGCGTTGCTGGCTAGGCAGCATTTATTGCCCATCCCTAATTGCTCAGAGGGCAGCTAAGAGTAAACCTGCTGTGGGTCTGGAGTCACATGTAGGCGCAACCAGGCGAGGACATTAGGGAATCAGATAGGTTTTTCCCAACAATCGACAATAGATTCAAAGTCATCATTAGACTCTTAATCCCAGATATTTATTGAATTCAAATTCACCATCTGTCATGGCAGGATTCGAACCCGGGTCCCCAGAACATTATCTGGGTCTCTGGATTAACAGTCCAGTGATAACACCACTAAGGCCATTGCCTCCCAGATACAGCACGCGGAGAGTCTGTGAGTTGGTGGAACAAAGTTGCAGTCAGTGCGATAGGTTGAAGTGTGTCTATTTTAACGCAAGAAGTATCAGGAATAAAGAGCATCGATCAGTACTTGGAGCTACAATGTTGTGGCCATTACGGAGACTTGGATAACACAGGGGCAGGAATGGTTGTTGGATGCTCTGGGGTTTAGATGTTTCAAAAGAAATAGGGACAGAGGTAAAAGAGGTGGGGGAATGGCATTGCTAATCAGGGATAGCATCACAGCAGCAGAAAGGGAGGTCGACAAGGAGGGTTTGTCAACTGAGTCACAATGGGTGGAAGTCAGAAACAGGAAAGGAGCAGTCACTTTATTGGGAGTTTTCTATAGACACCCCCCCACCCCCAGTAGCAACAGAGACTTGGAGGAACAGATTGGGAAGCAGATTTTGAAAAGGTGGAGAAGTAATAGAGTTGTTGTCATAGGTGACTTCAACTTCCCTAATATTGACTGGAACCTCCTAAGTGCAAATAGTTTGGATGGAGCAGATTTTGTCAGGTGTGTCCAGGAAGGATTCCTGACTCAATATGTAGATAGGCCGACAAGAGGGGAGGCCATATCGGATTTGGTGCTTGGCAACGAACCAGGCCAGGTGTCAGATCTCTCAGTGGGAGAGCATTTCGGTGATAGTGATCACAAGTCCCTGAAATTTTCTATACTCATGGAGAGGGATAGGAGCAGACAGTGTGTGAAAGTATTTAATTGGGGGAGGGGGAATTACAATGCTATTAGGCAAGAACTGCGGCGCGTAAACTGGAAACAGATGTTCTCAGGGAAATGCACAACAGAAATGTGGAGGTTGTTTAGGGAGCACTTGCTACAAGTACTGGATAGGTTTGTCCCACTGAAGCAAGGAAGGGATGGTGAGGTTAAGAAACCTTGGATGATAAGACATGTGGAATATCTAGTCAAGAGGAAGAAGGAAGCTTACTTAAGGCTGAGGAAGCAACGATTGGACAGGACTCTAGAGAGCTACAAGGTAGCCAGGAAGGAACTGAAGAATGGACTTAGGAAAGCTAGAAGTGGGTATGAAAAAGCCTTGGAGGTAGGATTAAGGAAAACCCCAAGGCAATCTATATTTATGTGACAAACAAGAGGATGGCCAGAGTGAGGTCAGGGCCGATTAGGGATAGTGGAGGGAACTTGTGTGCGGAGTTGGAGGAGGTAGGGGAGGTTCTTAATGAATACTTTGCTTCAGTATTTACCAATGAAAGGGGCCTTGACATTTGTGAGGACAGCGTGAAACAGGCTGATATGCTTGAACAGGTTGATGTTAGTGAGGATGTGCTAGAAATCTTGAAAAACATGAGGATAGATAAGTCCCCTGGGCCAGACGGGATATACCCAAGGTTTCTATGGGCAGCAAGGGAAGAGATTGCTGAGCATTTGGCAATGATCTTTGTGTCCTCACTGTACACTGGAGCAGTAGCAGATGATTGGAGAGTGGCAAATGTTATTCCCTTGTTCAAGAAAGGGAATAGAGATAAACCTAGGAATTACAGACCAGTTTTACTTCTGTGGTGGACAAATTATTACAGAGGATGCTGAAAGATAGTATTTTTGATTATTTGAAAAAGCACAGTTTGATTAGAAATAATCAGCATGGCTTTGTGAGGGGCACGTCACGCCATGCCTCACAAGCCTTATTGCATTCTTTCAGGATGTGACAAAACACATTGATGAAGGTCAAGCAGTAGATGTGGTGCATAGGGATTTTAGCAAGGCATTTGATAAGGGTCCACATGGTAGGCTCATTCAGAAAGTAAGGAGGCATGGGATTCAGGGAAATTTGGCTGTCTGGATATAGAATT